CACACCACCACCACCACCACCACCACCACCACCACACTCTCACGCATTGCTACGCATGGATATAAACCCTAGAGCGCACCAAATATATTCACATAAACAATAAAACTAACATGGCGACAACAAGATGGAGACAGAACCAAACGCTCTCCTCTACTCACCCCTCAGATTCGCCGCACGTGCCTGTTTGTGCTCCTCATCTCTCACGCGCAGTTCCTCAGCCAGGTCCGGGCGGCCAATGCTCGTGATGGCCTGGCACAAGATCTCAGTCTGTGGGAATTAAAGATAATAATATTATTGGAGAAAAAAACAAACATATTTGTAATTGCAAACATTTTAGGCCATATTGGCATAAGTTAGGCGCCTTTTGATACAATTTTGACCATTTAGGAGGCGGGCAGCTAAGACCGAACCTGCTAGGGCTAGTCAGGGCTAAGAGGGTTCATCATCATCCAGTGCCAGATCTGCGACAGACATCGGCGATCATGGTTTTCCATTCATTCCTTTGCTCGGATGCTCTCAATAAAGCTACGTTTCCATGATCTTTCCCTGTTACCCATTATTTTGTTTAGGTTTCCTAAGTATGTTGTTCTGGGCTAAGAGGGTTACAATTTATGTAATTGTACTGGTAGATGTTTTACACCCCGGTTGACATAGTTTAGATCTTTTAGGAGGTGGGCTACTTTGACCCTATCTCACAGGGTCAACCCAGACAGAGAGGAATTCAACTTCCCAGCACAGACAGAGCTAGAGGTACATGTACTCAACGATAATATGATCCTTCTGCTAGTTACTTGAAAGGTATTACCTGTTATAAAACTGAGAAAGGGGGATGGAAGATTAAAGATAATCATCAAATAACAGCTTTAAACAATAAAAAATACCCCTCGAATTCGGAATTTGAACCAAATTCATTCAAGGTACAGTCGAACTTGATATAAACTATAACTATGTGCAGTTGGTCAAAAGGGAGCAATTCTCAGCCACTCACTCTGTCTAGCGCCCTTGGCAGCCGCTTAGACCACGTAACTAGAACGTCATATATGGTCTGTGTGACGTCATGGTTGACGTTCTGACGTAATATGGCCTGCAGACGGGAGCGTTTGACTGTGAGTAGTTGTGCCAGTTTCCGCCAGTCGCTGTACTGTAGGTGAGTGGACAGGAACCTCAGCAGCTCGTCGTTTACAAGACCTGGGTGTTCGGAACAAGAGAAAGCCGGTAGAAAAATAGCAAGGTTTTAAAGTATACGCATACAGTGCTTACCATTTATATCATTATTTACTAACAGGTAGTCGTATACACACATTTTCTTCCCTCGTGCACCTGTGTCTGTCTGTCTGTCTGTCTGTCTGTCTGTCTGTCTGTCTGTCTGTCTGTCTGTCTGTCTGTCTGTCTGTCTGTCTGTCTGTCTGTCTGTCTGTCTGTCTATCAGTCTGTCTGTCTTTCTCTCTCCCTCTCTCTCTCTCTCTCTCTCTCTCTCTCTCTCTCTCTCTCTCTCTCTCTCTCTCTCTCTCTCTCTCTCTTTCTCTCTCTCTCGTATGTTATCTCTCATCTTTCTGACACTGACACACACGCGCAGACAAACACACACGCGCAAACAAACAAACACACTCAAATACACACACAAAAACCAACTCACAGATATATACAAACACTCACACAAACGCCAACATACGAACACCTACACCCACACTCAGAGACACACGCTCATGCATGCGTGCGCACACAAAGACAGTCATGGGTGATTCCTCAACACAATCATTAAATAATAAACAATTATTTCATGATATTCAGACAAAATGAAAACTAAAACAACGAACCTTCAGAGACAAAGTTGACTGGTGCGACTGTCAGGGGTCTTGGCGTCTCGGGATCGGGCTGTGGAGAGTGGAGGGAGATTACAATTTTGGGGGATTAAATCCATTTTCAACATCACATGTTTTTTTAGTAGCTTTTATTTAAATATTGTACAAAGTATTTATAATAGTGTGCTAAATACAACCTTTTTGAATATTGTTGTTTTTTGTACTTTGGTGGGGAGGTGGGTTAATGGTTGTTTTGTGGGTTGTTTTTTGTTGTTTTTGTTGTTGTTGTTGTTGTTGCTGTTTTGTTTGTTTCTTTAGTTATAGTAACTTCTTTTCAATATTGTATGTCTTGGTGTGAACTCCCCTTTCAACACAAGTGAGTATTCTTTAGAAGTAGGTACCTCCAAATTTGGTATCCGTCTCCGATAACAGAGAAGTAACCAAATACAACTAACGGCGCTCTACTAGGTATTCTGCCGGGGTAATACGCACTTTAATAATAGCCCAGCAAGATGCAAAATAAGCGAGCGGTTCCATGTTTATGTGTCTTAGAAGAATTGATTTGGTTCGGGGGGGGGGGGCATTATTTACTGCTGAATGAGTGTGGTTTGTTACAGGTATAGTGCAAATGTGTAACTTAAAAGTCGTAGAAAAATGTGTTTGATGAAATGTCCCACCCCCCAAAAAAAATGATCAGTCGAATCTTTCCAACATGACCACACGTTGTCGAGGAGAAAAGTGGTTATCTTAGACAGGTGGTCATCTTGGGCAATGGCATTTGGACAGATGATCGTGAGCAAGTTCCACTGTTATTTCATTAAAGAAACTAAAGAAATAGATCAAATATAATCAATCAAACTTCCTCTCTTTCTCCAGTTTACACATCCCTCTGTCCTGTCTCCTAACTGCAGTCGAACCTGCTGTAATGGCCACATGCCCAAGACGATCATCTGTTCAGACGACAACTTTACACTCCCCTCTTGGGGGGTTTTTTGTGGGGTTTTTTTTCTTTTTTTTAAGGGAGGGGGGTGGTTTACTATTATAATGACACACTACTCAAGACGTACTCCTGTCTAAGACAACCACTTTTCTCCTCGATATATATGGCCACCTTACACACTTTCTACTGTATAACTTATCTTCATAGTCGTCGCGCTCACCTTAGGCAGGATAACCAACTGCTCACAGAGCAAGAGGTCACCGTCCACCCACTCGTCCTTGACCCGTTGACCTGTGACTCTGTCCCTTTCCTCCCCTGGTTCTAGCGGCCTTTTCACACGGCCCGTGGTGAAGAGCTGACAGAAGCCGCGGTAACTGTCGAAGCCTTTCTGCGCGAACTTGTCCTTCTCGGTCACTTCAAAGTTTAACCTGCAAGGAAAACAGCACAGTTATAGGGTTTTTTTGGTGTTTCTTTTCTTTTTTATTTGGGGGGGGGGGGGTGTTTCCTCTTTGTCCCTCAGTTGTTTTAGGAAAATATATTTAATATGTAGTTTTTACCTGGGTACTGGAAGTGTCATCTCTGACTCAGAAGTTGACGTGTAATGACCCTCCATCCTTCAAGGCCTCGAGCTGTGGTTTGTATTTACTTCATAATTAAGAGATATTCTGTTTTCTTCTTTTTAGGAAACAACAAAAGCCTTCTTTTCATTTCATGAATCCGCAATGGCAGTAGTTTTACCTATTCAGTATATAGTATTGTTGGATAAAACTTCCAAAACAAGCACAATTTTGAGCGTAGCCATGAAGAAGTTGCAATGAGGTTTGCTTCCCTTCTCTTCTCCTCTAAAACTTTCTCTTACCATTGTCTAGCCTTGAAGAGCGATTAATTCAACTGAGAAACAAAGTTGAATGTTGACCAAAAGATCCAACTGGAACATCAACAACGGAGGCAGCACAAGCAACACACACATACCCACAGCAGCAGCAGCAGCAGCAGCAGCAGTAACAACAATAACAACAGCAACACAACAACTACAACAACAACAACAACAACAACAGTAACATTATTAAAAACACGACGCCACGTTTTTCATTTCTGAAATACGCATACAATTAGGGTAAAACATTTTATTGAGCTACTCACTTAAAAGGTATGTGCGTGTTGTAAGCCACTTGCTGTTTCACATCCTCCATAGTCAGCCCTAGGTTGCCACGGAAACGGAGCTCCAACCTTTGACCTTCTGACATTTGGAGTTCGCGCCCAGGCCTTGGCCCGTGGTCGTAACCCTCATCTGCGAGTGTCTTGATTACTCTGAGAATAGGAGTTAACAACGTGAGTGGTGGTGGAGGACAGGGAGGAAATAAATGAGAGACTGTAAAAAAAATTTAAAAAGAATGTGTGTGTAGGTGTGAGTTAAACGTAAAAGATCAAGAGGAAGACCACACGTCACAGAAATCAATGTACAGAAAAGTGGGAAGACGTGGAATAACATCAAGTGACTAGCCAAATTTAGGGGGAGGTGTGTTTGTGGCCTATACTCTGACCCAGGGTGATTTAGGCATTGATGATAATGATGATGAGTTTAAATCCCCTTCAACACTTTCAGTTTTTAAGGGATGATGCATCCGAATTTCACGTCCAATCCCAACAGAATTGAGCCAAATGGGTTCAGAGTCTTGGAAATTTTCCAAAATGCAGTCGAAGAATAAATTCTTAAAATCAATTTCCAAGACAGTTTTAAGTAGGCTGTAATATGTTGACGAAAAAAGATTTTAAGGAATAAAGTTTTGTTTTAGGAGAATTAAAAAATGATCATGTAAAAACCTGTTATATAGCAATTTTTTATGAAAATCTATAAAATTATTGTCTTTGATTTTACCCTTATCTATGTAGGATTGTACGGAATCTCAACTTGCAACAACAATAACGATAACAAAAACAACAACAACAACAAAAACTACAACAGCAACATCAGCAATAATAACAACAACAACAACAACAACAACAGCAACAACTACAACAACATCACCACCACCACCACCAACAACAACAACACTACCACCAACACCAACAACAAAAACAGCACCACCATCTCCACCTCCACCACCACAACCACAGACAACAACAAGTGAATGGTCTGGGCTTCACCTGTCTACGTTGGAGGGCGGTGTGCAAGTGAGCACCACACTGGAAGGCTCCGCGCTCTTCTGCCTCATCACAACGCTCACCGGCTTGTAGGTCAAGGACATGATCACGTGACCTATCATCTTCTCCGACTGCGCTGCCGTCACATCCGGTTTTGTTCGAATAACGGCAATTCTGAAACATTTCATCATCAGGACCTTATGGTGCTTAGTGGTCAAATAAATATGGTTAACCTTGCAGGGATTTTTGTTTGTTTGTTTTTTAAAAAATAATTACGATTATTATTTGTTGGTTTGTTTTGTTTTAGCTTGTTTTTATATTTGGTCTAGGCAATGTTGAAGCCACACTACAACGCATTATTACAAACATGATGCCCCATTGAGTGCTTTTTATATACTTTATAAAAATCATAATGTGTCAGTGATCTTTAGTGTCCTTAACTTTTCTACAGTCGTTAAGTAGTTTAAATTAATAAGTAGGTTTACAACAAACATTATATTATGCTTCAAATAGTAGACATGCAACCATCGACATGATGCTATGGCAATTTACTTCATGGGAAGACAATGTAGAGCTTAGAAGTTTTTACTGAGAGAAAGTGCGTGTGTGGGGGGGTGGGGGGGGGCAAGGGGGATTTGGCGCAAAGGTGAGTACCTTTCAAACCGCCGGGCTATCTCAAACGATACGATGTCTCTCTTTTTGGATTGGAGAAGCGTGACGTCATCAGACCGGGTCCAGGAACTTCCTGGTTCCTTTATCAAAAGATGAACTTCTTCTGACGTTTCCGAGTCTGAGAGAAAAAATGGCGGAAACGGACATGTTCATATCAGTCATGTATTACAAGGAAAAGGGGTAAGGTTGGAAATATATGGTTATAAGAGTTTCTCAATTTCAACAGGTTCATGATTCCGGGGAGGGCTGGGGGAGGGGGGGGATCATGTATCAAGGATTTTGTTGTTGTTCGGAGGGGGGGGGGGGGTCATTTGACGAAGAATCTGTCTACAGCGGGTGGAGATTGTTAACCTGAGAAAATCGCTACAATTTGCATTTTCTGGACAAGGAATGACTTCCTGCTTAATAATAATAATAATAATAATAATAATAATAATAATAATAATAATAATAATAATAATAATAATAATAATAATAATAAATAGCATATATATATATCGCGCATGTCCCCACTCGAAAGCAAGCTCTATTCGCTTTACACTATATTATTACCCCAGCAGACAATAGAACACTCAGAAACATTCTCAGCTTCCCGGGAAGCATGCAGTGCAAGCAGCTGGTTAAGCGCTCGAACACTAACACACTGACAAGATCTTTCACTCTCTATAGCTGGGTACCCATTCCCACCTGGGTGAGGTGGGGGAAATTTGTGAAAAGTGCCTTTCCCAAGGACACAACGTTGGATCCGCGGCTCGAACCCCTGAACCCGCAACCTCACGATTACGAGTCCGGTAGCCTAACCACTTAACTTCAAGCCTTTTTTTCCCCGTCTTTATACATAAGAAAACTGTGCTTGTGTTTAAGCCAAGCGTCATAGTAAAGAATTTAACAAAGGAGAGACAGGCACAGAGAGAGGGGGAGTGGGAAGAGAGAGAGAGAGAGAGAGAGAGAGAGGACAAGACAGAGAAAAACACAAAAAATCAATCAAAGCAGCCAATCAGAGAACAAGCAGAAGGTGACCACGCCCACAACTCACTCACCAGCGACAGCCTCTCCGCCACCAAACAAAGGTCTGGCGCTGAGTGGTCGTGTATCTTTTGGTTCCGCCCTGTCCCCACCCAATCTGTTGGCCGCCGTCTGAGGTCGGCGGGGTCGGAGAGCGGGGTTTGACGGACACGGTAATGTAATGGTCAATGGTTTGCTGAATTTGGTCTGAAGATATATGCTGCGTGGATAGAGTTTGAAAACAATAGTTAGAAATTCATTGTAACAAAATAGGTTTATTAGTGCATTGGTGTTACCTTCTTCAATTTATTTTTTTAATCCAGATCTACACATTGTCCTTTCTTTTCGAAGATTCACATTGACGTTAATTATATCGTTGATCACATTATGAGGCTAGGGATGTTTGTGTCAACAGGAAGGAAGAAAGGAAGAAAGAGGAGGATGAAGAGGAGGAAGCAAGGAAGGAAGGAAGGAAAGAAGGGAAAAAACGTGTAATGAGGCATAACAATGGGCGTGGGTAAGAACAGGAGAGATGCACATATGAAAAAAAAGCAGAGCAGTATGCAGAATGAGGTACAAATGAATGAAGCACAAAATTAAATGCGGAAATTGTTTGTACGTTTCGAAGAAAAGAAATGAAAAGGGCAACAGGCGAGAAACCAAAGTAATTTTAGAAAAAGACACAGGGAAATTCAAACTGGACTATGATAGACAAATAATGGACGGAGAAAAAGCAAAGCATAAAAAAGACAGCAAAAAATTAAACCAGCATTTTTTATTTTTTTAAAACAAAAGCATAGCTTCGGATTGATGTTTTTTTAGCTTCTATCGTACCCACCTTACGATCGGGCTGCAAGACAGTAATTTCCCACACTCCACGGGCTTTTTGGCTTTGATCTCTTGAATTAAGGTGTGATCAACAGGTTGTATCTGAAAGTAAAAAAGAAAACCAAGCAAAGATAGACGGTGCTCCCATGGATGCTTAGAGATTCTCTTTACAGTACTAGATCAGTCTATATTCTAGCTTACGTAGTGCAGTATGTCACGACTTCGATATGTTGAGCAGAAGTTCAAGTTTGGATTCCGCCGGAGAATGATGTCTTTCTTTCTGGGATATAATTTGCCAAGTCAGTGTCAAGACGCCCCCACCTTCAGAATGGCCTTTCATTGAGCCAGTCTCGATGTACTACCTTCAAGGAATCAGGAGGACCAGTCACCCCCCCC